TGTTTTTTTTCTTTGTTCTAGAATTGTGCAAACATCTTTCCTTGTGAGGATTTTCTTGTAAGTTTGCAAATTTGTAATCTTCTCTTTGAGAAAGAGTGTTCTCAAGAATTGGGGTATATTCTTGAGGGAGTTGTAAGGTTATCTCTTTGGCCTCAAAAGAAAGAACGAATTAGTGAATTTGTTGGAAAATCCTTAGTGTGGATAGCTAAGGTAGTGGACGTAGACTTTGATTGAGAAAGTCGAACCACTCTTAATCGTTGTGCAATTACTTTCAATTTTCTGCAAAAGCTTCCACAAAATTTTAATTACCAATTCACCCCCTCTTGGCCGATTCCGTCGATCGATTAACTCCACATATGATTTCTAGGAAGAACAATATTTCCTTTAACTACTAATATCATTTGACGAGTTATTTTTCAAAATTTTTTAAGGTATGTAATTTGTGCAAATAGCTACATGCATACAACTTAAATGAATATGGTATTTTAACATTAAGCTATTTGTATATTTTAATTAAATGTTTATAATAAAATTGTTAAAAAATTATTAGTTGGCATCTAAACGCTGTTATACTAATATATATGGATTATGTAATAATAAAATGTCATATAGAAAATAATTAACATTAGGTCTAAATAAAATAATAATTCAATTTTAAAATATGAAAAGAATTATAAATAAAATATAATAATAAAAAACATCTTTTAATTTTATTCTAAATAATAATTTTAAAAATTGATACAATATTAATTATTATTTATATCATATCATAATACTACATCATCCACATGGACCACGTCTATTTTTACGTGATAATTTATATTTTTAGATAGATATAGGTTTTGTTTGGTGTGACTTTCTAAATATAATTTAGTTGAAAAGTTTATTTTAATTGTAAAATCAACGTCAACGAGTAAAAAAATTATGGTAGAAGTGGTGGTTTCAAACTAGCCACAAAAGTTATGATTTGTAGTTTTTTCATTTTCAACTTAGCTTTTTTAAAAATAAATTATAATTTTACCCTTATTAATACTCCACTCAATTATGTATTTACATTTTATTTTAATAATTAATATTAACATCCTTTAAAAAATAATTTATTACTTAATAATTTATTTTAATTACTTAAAAATAAATAAATTCATGATTTATATATTTAAATTCACTTTAATTTACAAACACTAATATATGTTTTTTTGTAATTTTTTATCAAAATAAATATTTTAATTATTATTTCGTAATAATTTTATATTTACGTATTAAAATATATTGATAATATATTTTTCTTGACCAAAAATCTGACTCTAACCCCACCCGTTGCTATCCGTAATTTTACCTTTGCAATACAATTTGTTGGGCTAAAAAGAAAGCATATACGCCCTTTGGATTTTGACTTTGTTTTTTCCATGGTTTTCATAACCGGACCAGTTAGTGAACCGGTCATGTTATCGGTTCACTGGTTTAACTGGTCGAATTGATCCGATCGGTCGGAAGAATTGGACGACATCATAATTATTTAAAAAATTAAATAAAAATACCAAAAATATTTAATAATTTTTTTTATATCACAAGTCATATTTAAAGCAAGTAACATATATATAAGTTAAAAACCATAAAATCAAGTGAAACAAAATGATTCAAATTAACTACAACATAATATTTAAGGTAAAACATATTAAATAATAAATATAATTATATAACTATAATTAAAAATAAATTTGAGGCTAAAAATTATAACAAAATGATATTGTTTGGTTTAGTTTTTTAAAAAAAACAATCTCACATGGCTAATAAACATAGAAGATCATCCCAAAAGTCTAAAGAGTAAAAATATGAGAACAAAACAGTCCCAGAGGGCTAAGAAACATATAAGAGTATCCCAACTAACTTCTATAAATAATAGAGGTAATTTGACATTCAAAATCATGGAGCCTTTTGGTAAGTATTGAGTGAACTATTCTTTCACTTCAATTAAGCTCGAATTTTAGGCTTCAATCGAGCTTCTAAATTTTTTTTGAAAGCCTTTTCGAGTTCAAATTTCAATATTATATTTCGAGTTCGAGTTGAACTTGATAATTTTTAGCTCGTGAGTTTGAGTCGAGTTGAGCTTACTTTTAAAGTTTTCAAGTTCGAGTCGAGCTCAGCAATACTCGAGTTCGACTTGGCTCGTTTAACAAACGACATCGTTTGGTTTAATTTAAAAAAAAAATAATAAAATTAGCGGGTTTTTCCGGTTTTTAGGTGGTCCGGTTCAAACGGTTCAACGGTTTCGACCGATTCACTAGTAACGATTCAACCGGTGTAGATTGAACCGGACTAGACCACGATTCCCGGTTGAACCGGTGAAAACACTGATTTTTTCTCCTTTTCGTAAGAGATCAAGTCAATGCCAGTTCATCTGGATCGTACATTAAGATTAACCCCTTTCGTCTCTTGAAGCTAACGGCTCAGATTCAACACTTGTTACCATCCACATTTACTTTGTGAAGTGAAGTGGGTCAATGAGAGCTCAGTAGCTCAACATACACTGGAACCCAGACTTTCCCCTTCTAAACAAATTCCATTTCACTTTGTAAACGAACAGAATGAAAAATTAGATCTTTTTCCTGTTTTCAATTCAATAAAAATCCCATCTTTTTTCCCAGTAAGAAAAAAGGGAAACAATGAAAGTGAGTCGTCCGGCGGTTCATCCGGTGGAGGCTCCTCCGATGACGGAGGCCGCCGTTCACCATCCTAGAGTAAGGATGAAGGACATACAAGGCATGCCTGGGACTAAAGGTGGCCTCTTTCTTCGTCTTTCTCAGTTCATTTTCTCCATCATTTCTGTCTCTGTCATGGCCACCACCAATGATTTCCGCTCCGCCACAGCTTTTTGGTAATTACCCCTTTTTTCTTTTCATTTCTTTACTTATTCTGATGTTTCAATCTTCCATTTTTTTTTACGTTGTTTCCTTTTATGATTTTATTTTTTTGTACAAACACCCTACAGATTTATAGTTGAGCTATTGAAATGATTTTATCTTTTGTACAAACTATTATAATTGTTATTCCAGTTTTAAAATCATAAACAAGCTTTTTTCTTCTTCTAGTTTTTCTATAGAATTCTGATCTTTCAACTAGACATATGGGGAAGTTGTTTGCTTGGAATAGTATCTATGTTTGTATCACAATTTATACCGTGATGTATTTGAGATATGTCAGGACTTGAATGATCGGTATGGTTATGGGAAATTGAATGCCTTTTTATTTTTAATTGAATTTAGCTGTTCTGACTTTGAGCACATAATGTAAAATGTTGAGCTAAAGTGAGTTGGCAAGTCCCATGTTACTCGACTCGACCGAGAGTGTGGAATGATGCCTGCCTGCTTGTTCAACATGGGGATATTCAGAGTTTTTCACTTCATATTTTTTTAGGCACTTGGAGGGTTATATCCACATATCATGTCCAACTATTGTTAGTCAAGTATTCTCAAAGGAAAATGAAGTTTAGGATCAACTTTGGGTTCCACATATATATCTGTTTGACAAGCTTCCTAAGTGGTTCTGCATTTTCTTTGATGGTGGCTTAAACTATTGTGCATTTGTTTCTCTCCAACATAGTTGGATGGCTTTTCTTTGGTAGTACGGACTCTGAATTTCTATTGCTACATCAATCAGTTATTCGCATTCATGGGTGTATATCTAGCTTCACTTACCAGTTGCATAAAGTTAGTAAAGTCAATGCCTATGCGTTAGTGTAAGGGTATATTTAGATATATGATGATGGTTTCACAGTTTTTCATCTTAATACTAGCATGAACATTTGATTGCTTTTATTGCATCAGCTACCTCGTCCTTGCTGTTGGCCTGCAAAGTTTATGGAGCCTGTCCCTGGCATTTGTCGACATATATGCCCTCTTGGTCAAACGAAGTTTGCGAAACTATGTAGCACTACGTTTGTTCACGATTGGTGATGGGGTAAGAGAGCTTAATCGAGCATAAAAAGTATGCAGCATAGTTTATAGATCATCTTTTGGTTTTGTCATTTCATTTACCGATTTTCAACTGTAGGAAACTCGTATGGCACTTCTTGTGTTAATTTAGGCTATGCTGATGTACATTTCAGTAATCACTGGCTATTCTGATTCTGTGAATGAACTTCCCACCTATCTTTGAAAACAAATTTCCCCCAAGCTTTGGTGATTTAAAGGTATTAAAAATGGATAATCTGATATTATTGATTACACTTATGTTTCTCCATGCAAGTTCTAGAATGCCATTGCACACACTGGGTACTGTGGGGATGTTTAGTGATTGCTTTTTTTGATATTGGGTTTACTTCATTTGTGAGTTGTATCAAATCGGTGTGTGTGAAATTGCTTGGTGTCAAGTAAATTGTCAAGCATGTGAAATTGGTTGTATGCATGAAGAAATTCTTCTAATATATCTAAATCCGATTCCGAGGCATGTACTCTGTATCAGAATTGCTTAAAATGACGTTTCGTTGCACAGATCACTTCGACCCTTACATTCGCCGCTGCTTCTGCATCAGCTGGTATAACAGTCCTGATTGGAAATGATCTTGACAAATGTAGCATGAACCATTGCACTCAGTTTGAAACTGCTACAGCAATGGCCTTCATCAGCTGGTTCACCATGTCGCCATCCTTTCTGTTGAATTTCTGGTCACTGGCTTCCCAGTGATGATTGTGGAGTTTGCACTTAGTTCCGACTTTTCAATTTGTTGTGTTATTGATTAAACCAACAGTGTATATATAGATTTTTTGCTAGGGTTCCTGAGTTTTCTTCTTAAAACATTACTTGTATCTTTGAGTAAACACACCATTTTCATTATAATTGCTACCATGCTTTTCTCACAACTCTTTAACACTTAGTGGCTACTGATCACAGAGTTTCAATTTCAAAGAGAGCAACTCTTTTAACTTTGAGCTGATGAACGTGTTGGTATGTTAGAATTTCGAATCCAAGCACATAAAACCACTTCCTTTATCTCCAAGCTATGATTTTGCACCAAATTTTTCCCAAGAAAAAAGATTATGATCAACATTTCATGAACTACAAGTAAGACGGCAGAAAATTTGAGGCCTTGATTATGCATAGGGAAAGAACAAACTTCAAAGTTCATCACCGTAATGAATTACTTGGCTGCAGATTCCAAACCAATTAGTTGCAAGCAATGTAGCAGAGAGAAGTTGTGCTCAACCCGAATATCAGCAAATTTTTTTTGGGGGAGTTTCTATACTATGATTGACACCTTCGTTTCTCGGCTTCAAGCTCATTTTTTAATGTTTCTATCTGCTGGAGTAAAGCTGCATTTTTCTGGTAAAATTGGAATTAGTCAATAAAACAGGAAGAAATATTTGAGGCATATTAATTTTCTCCTGCAAATCTGTTTTTACGTATCAATAGCAATTGATGTTTCACAAAGTTTTCAATGACTCTCGTTAATGATAACGAAAGTCTCTCTCACATTCATTTTAGTTTACAACCAGAAAGTCATGATAAATGGCCTTCTCAGTAAAATAAATGATCAAATGCCTTATTAATCTTTTACTTATTAATGAATTATGAGGCACTCTTTTCCTCCTTCCGCTGATTATGGAACACCAATTGGTGTTCCTTTAATCATGAAGGGGGGGGTTTTAACGAGGCCTTAACTTCCTATAAAAAAAATGCCTTATTGCTAGCATTTACATTGAAGAAGGTTTTCAAGAATGACAAAGAAAACATACAGGATCAGTGATCATAAGAACAAGAAAACAAGAAAGAAGGATAAAATAAGACAACTTTCGGTAGCGAAGAAGTTACCTTTTGCAGCATCTTCAGTCTTTTATCGGAGCTAGTGGAATCTTCCTTCTTTTCAAAAGACTCCTTGATCTGTGAAAAGGGCACATACTCTATCCATCACAAGAGTTGACAAGCACAAATTAAGGATTAAAAAGATAGTACCGGAGGAAGTTTTTTTTCCCAGCATATATTTAAACTTAAAACTCACCTCTACAAGAAACTAGCTAAACATAAATGGTGTAACCTCTAAAATATGCTAGTCCAAAACGCATGTTAGTTTTCCTATTCTCAGCACATACGACTTCCCGAATCCCGATATTTAATTAGTCATTATGAACAGAGTACAAAAAGTTCAGAGACATGCAGGATAACACTCCCCCCAGGAACAACATGATAATACAAGGAGGCTTAAAAGAAGATATACCAGGTGAAACAAATTGTTCCAGGAAATTAGCGCCAAATTATTCTTTATAACATATTATTATTATGGGTTGCTGCTGCATGAAATTTCTATTGAAATCAGGAACTGTGTAAAGAAAAAAAAACCCTCCAGAATAGCTTTTCTAAAATGTAGAATTCTGCACGAAGTCAGTGAGAAGTTGCTCGATTATAGCAACAACAACAACAACAACAAAACCCAATTCCCATATGTATGGGGTAAGGGGGAGGTAGGGTAGTAGGCTACCCCCAACGCCAGGTTGAGAGTAACTTCCGTGGAAGACCTCCGGCAGTCAGAAAATTAAAAATTTAGATAAAATGCAATGCATGTATAAATAAATACATAAATACATAGCTAAACAGTATTCATATGCAGTCATTAAAATCATATGTGCGTCTGTAACAGGAATTAATCCCTGCATAATTATCCCTGCGAAAGAATCTCTGCATATAGACATAAACATAAGATAAGATCCGGCTAAATTTAAAAGAGGAAACATGAAGAGAATGATACACAGAAGTTAACGTTAGCAAGCCCAGTTCTAATCCTTCATAAATACCAATAACAGAAACGTATAAAAAGTATAAGTCATGGAAAATACTACAAAGACATTAAAAGAAGACAGAGATGATACACCCTATAGATGTGACCCACACTACTCGACTACCCTAGTCTTTAGCCTCCATATTTTCCTATCAGAGGTCATGTCTTCGGTAAGGGCTAAATCCCTCAAATCAGATCTCAAGCAGTCTTCCCACTTTCGCCTTGGTCGTCCTTTCCTTCTGGCACCGTCGACTGTAATCGACTCTACCCTCCTTACCGCATCCGACGGTAGTCGCCTAAGGACATGCCCAAACCACCGTAGTCTTCCCTCCCTCAATTTTTCGGAAACAGACACCACCCCCAAGGACATCCTAATAGCAGAGTTTGTCGTCATATCCCTCAGAGTCTTACCACATGTCCATCGAAGCATTCTCATTTCTGCGGCCTCAATCCTCCTTACGTGATCCTTCTTGGTTGCCCAACATTCTGATCCATACAACAGCGCTGGTCTTATTGCCATTCTATAAAATTTTCCCTTAAGTTTTAGAGGGACCTTCTTGTCACACAGAACTCCAGTAGCGGCCCTCCACTTTAGCCATCCCGCCTTTATACGGTGTGTAACGTCATCATCTACACCCCCATCTTTATGTATCATAGACCCTAGGTACTTGAAACAATCCTTTGAGGGGAGAACGTGTCCTTCTATGCATACTTCTACATCTTCATCGTTTTGGTTCCCATTGAAGTTTGAACATAAATACTCTGTCTTTTCAATATTGATCCTTAAACCTTTTTCTTCCAAAGCAGTCTTCCAGGTAGCCAGTCTACTATTCACTCAGATTTTGTTTCAGCAACTAAGACAATGTCGTCAGCGAAAAGCATACACCATGGTACACCGTCTGGTGTCGCACAATAGATGTCGTCCATGATCAAGGCGAAGATGTAAGGGCTAAGAGCCGACCCCTGGTGGAGTCCGATTTCCACCGGGAATGCCTCGGTGTCGCCAACTGTAGTCCTGACGTAAGTAGTAGATCTACAGTACATATCACGAATCGCCCGGATATACGCAGTTGGGATCCGTCTCGTTTCCAAAGTCTTCTAGATCGTATCGCGGGGAACACTATCATAAGCCTTCTCAAGGTCAATGAACGCCATGTGAAGATCTCTAGACTTTTCCCTATATTTCTCCATAAGCCGTCGAAGTAGATGAATCGCCTCCGTGGTAGACCTGCCTGGCATAAAGCCAAATTGGTTTTCCGAAACCCTAGTAACTTGTCTCAACCTAGCCTCTATCACCCTTTCCCATAGCTTCATGGTATGGCTGAGGAGTTTAATACCTCTGTAGTTACCACAACGTTGGGGATCTCCTTTATTTTTATAGATTGGTATCACCGTAGACTCTCTCCACTCCTCTGGCATCTTGGCAGTCTCTAGAATAATATTAAGATGTTGGTCAACCACTTAACTCCCTCTTCTCCTAGGGCCAACCACACAGTGATAGGAATTTGATCAGGACCGACAGCTTTGTCCCTTCCCATCTTTCTAAGAGCCATTTTGACTTCCTCAAACCCAATCCTACTTGTAGGGCAGTCCTTGGCCGTAGTATGATAGTCGGTTAACCCATCAGCGATACTATCTCTACATGGAGAGGCACCGTCATTAAATAAGCTAAAGAAGTAACTACCCCAAACCCTCTTAATATCGTGATCTTTCGCTAAAAGAACACCATTGTTGTCCTTAATAAACCTAATGTTACCTAGATCCTTTTTCCTAATCTCCCTAGATTTTGCAAGTCTGAAGATGCCATTTTGTCCTTCCTTGGTGTCTAATCTCTTGTACATTTCCTCGTATGCCTTATCCTTTGCTTTAGCTACCGTTTTCTTGGCTTCCCGCTTTGCCTCTTGGTATCTTTGTTTAGCTCTCGACCTTTCTTCGTCGTCATTGCATTGTAGAAACTCCTTGAAGCAAGTTTGTTTTGTCTTCACCTTAGTTTGGACTTCGTCGATTATAGCATTTTTCTATAAGTGAATTCTCCAGTAACAAGCTCCAGATTTAAGCTTTTTAAGCAGGAATTTGAGAAAACTTTTGAGCAAAAGAAGCCAAGATAAATTCTTGCAGTTCCATATACGAATTAAAACAGCCAAAGTGACTTAATAATTAGCTCCAAGTTTGAAAATTTCCATGTGACCTGATTTGCAAGATCAGCTATCTTTTCTTATTAAAACTTTATTTGAATATTTCTCTTTTAATCCTGATTCTTCCCAAAAAGACTATCTAATTGAAATAAATTTTCTTTCTTCAAAATTGAGTAAAACCAAGAATACCAATTGTAAACCTAAAATCACTAATTGATCCAAATTTAACAAAAAAAATGAAAATGGAAACAAGAGAATATACCTCTTCCAGTTCTTTGGCACACTTGGAAGACTTTTTTGCCTCTATATCAAATCTCAGCCTCCACTCCGCAGATTCATCCATTGCCTCTTTGTTGGCAAGATCAAACTGTTTCCTTCTCTCCCATAAACCAACGACAAAATCATTTCTATTACAATTTAACCAGAGAATTGAAAACCCAGAATTCAACGCAACCTAATTTTAATCAAAACCCAAATTTTATATACACATATAAAATAACCTTATTAACTCAGCATCGTCGGAAGAGATAGAGTGTTGAATAGCCCAAAGCCTGAAAGAAACTGCCACCCCTAAAAACATAGCCAACGCTAATCCCCACAATACTCTGCTGCTCCCTCTTCTCGCCATTTTCGTTTTCTTCTCCTTTGGATTTTCTCACTCTGTTCTTTCCTTCCCGATCTATTTTATTCAGTTTTAGCAGAACTATAAAAGTATCACATTAGTTGACGGAATGAAACAAAATTAGGATAAAAATAGGTTTAGGAAAGTACAAGCTCAACATTATCATTATTGAATCAAATTTTATATTTTTTAGGGTAAACTGCAAGTTTATTACTTAAATTATTTTTTTATTCCGTTTTAATATCCAACCTTTATTTTTTTTAAACTATACACAACTTTTATTTTAATCTTAACTCAATATTCAGAATATTTTTTTTAAAATTCACTTGGTATTCAAAAATTATAACGATGCACTTGATATAAAATAATTCATGGAATATTCAATATTATATTAAACAAATTAAATTTTATAGAAAATTAATCAAATGCTTTTAAACATCAAAAAGTTATTTAATATTAATTAAAATAAGAATTTAATCGGAAAAAATCATTCTCATCGAAATTTGAGGTATTACACTTGTTATCAAAGGGGTTTACGTTTGCAAAGTCAGATTGTTGTTTGTTTGTGAGGAAGACTGCAACAAACACAATGTTTTTAATAGTGTATGTGGACGATACTATACTCAATAGGGCTTAAAATTAGGTTCAACTCGACTCGAAAACTCGCGAACTAAAATTTATCAAGTTCAGTTTGAACTCGAAATATAATATTAAAACTCGATTTAAACTCTAAAAGACTCGAACTAAAAAAAAATTTAGGAACTAGATTGAAGCTCGAGACTCGAACTCGATTTAAGCTCAAACTCGATTCAAGTTCAAACTCAAACTCGAATTTGAACCTACAAAAATCTTATATTATATTTAAAAATATACTTTTAAAAAATTATAATTATCAATAATATATTTTTAATAATATAATTTTAAAAAATCTAAAACTATAATATAACATTTTTGTTTTAGTAATTCGCAAGTTTTTCAATGTCCTTCCGAATCCTTCGTGAACAGAAAATGAAGCTCCTCTTCTTCTCGCCAAATATTCATGAGGAGGGATCCTTCCGTCACGATCATCGCCGTCGGCATCTTTATCACTCTTGGACCAGTCCGGGACGGTGACCGGCAATGAAGCTGAAACGACCTTTTGGGTCTTATGAATTCCGTCTTTCTTGGGAGTTTCTTAGACGAAGCTCGAGAACTCAGTAATGGCTTCTTTCCATCATGTGTATTCGTTGTTGCTTCATCGGAGTTATAATTCCATGTATCTGCTTCATCGAATTTGAAAACGCCGCCGTAGATGATGTCATCATTTGATCCAAAAAGGACCTTCCCTGACGCCATTGATGAATAGGGTTTGCTTTGAAGAAGAAGAGATTGTTTTCTTTGTGGTTGATCATCTTTGAATTTTTATAGTGGCGTAGTGGATAAGTTCTCCGTTTTGCAAGTTAACCAGAGTTACTGAAATACGAAAGAGGGAAATTCTATCATGCTTGCATCCTCAGAGGATATCCATGGGGTCATCCACTTGATCTTTTTATCAAGTACAATGTGTGTGAATGTGATTCAGCACTGAGATGCATATTCTCAATTTCAGATATTTATTCTACTGCCAAATTTGAGTGCACGAAATAACACTTGGCCAAACAAAGAATTTATACAAATGAACCAACCGTGTCAAGTGTGGACCAATTGGAATGCCCCATTTGTCACTAAAGAAACACGCTTGCACTAGACTTGGAGGGCCCACTTCACTTCCCAACTTTATTAATAGATCAGAACTTGCATTCCTTGACACCTCATTTTCCACAATTTTCCCTCTAGTCTAGGATTTTCTTTTACGATAAATAATGAGAAGTATAGATATTTTATGATGATATTAAGTTGGTTTTGTTGATGGTTAGCGGTTTATTTATTTATTTATTTATTTTTGTGTGTGGATGAAGAGTCATAATTTGGGAAATGAAAACGATAGTTAGCTGGTGTTTTCGTGTTGAAGAAAGTCGATATTGTAGAATGAATAAGCAATTATAGGTTGAAGAGGGTTTCAACCCTTTTTCCAGTCTTAATTAAGAGTATTTATAGTAATCTTTAGTGTGTCTGACAGTTATAGTGTCATTATGACTATTTCATAGACTAATAAACTATATAAATATGGTTATTAGACCTCAAATCATGTTTTAAAAAAATCACATGGATTTGTTAGACGTCTTATCTATGTATTGCAGTTGATTGGGAAGCTTGTATCCAATGAATGTGGGCTTGTTGAAGGCTATGGATGACGAAGTGCTGATAGTTTGTTGGTAGTTTCAACGATTTTGGTATTACGGAGGCTCATAGGTTTCTAGAGGTCTTCTATATATATGAAGGTATAACAAGTTGTCCCCATTGGTTGAGGGGAATGCAATAAACTGGTTTGACTCAAGACTTATGGTGAAGAATATATCTCGTCGATATGTTGCTACAGTCCTTTGGGTGGTCCCGGTTTCACATTCCGACTTGAACTGATGATGGAGTCGCCACCGATGGTTTTTATATTTGGTAGACAGATAGATTTAACTTGCCTATTTATTGAATATGCACTTACCAGAGAATTGACGAGTTCGGGGGTTGTTTACGATTGAGGATGATGAGCATGCTCGAGTCACCCTTTCGGTACCAATCGATTACCCGATTGTATATATCGCAAAAATTAAAATTTTAAACAAAAATTTAAATTCAATCCAAATTATTTACCTTTGATGATCTTTTTATTTTGATTGAATCTCCTTTTTACATAAAATAAAGTTAATATTAAAAAAAACAAGTCAAATATAATAAAATAAAATAAAATAAAATATATAATAAAAAGTAATGATAAAAAAGGTAAGTAAAATGCTGTAAAAAAAATTAGAGTACTAATTTATAAAAGGGAACTAAATTGAAATAAAATTGAAATTCATGCTAAATTGTATACAGTGACCAATTCAAATTACATATCAAACTTCTGGGGGCGTAGAAATAATTTAAAATTTTAATAATTGTACGGAGGTCCCTTGTATTTAAGTACCCAAAAAACCTATTTTTCTTCCTCATTTGTAACACCCCACCAAAAATCTCACCCTCCACTCTCAATCCTCTTGAGCTCTCCTCCATCATTTCCAGAAAACGACTACCAGACCACTGCTCCGACAACCACCCACGGTGGTCGGTGTGTAATATCCCAAAAGCCAGATCAGTGACTAAAATGTAAATTCTGAAAATTTTGTGCTCAAATTTGAAAACAAGTTAAAAGTTTAGGGACCTTATTAGAGAATTTGATGTTGGATTTAATTGTAAAGTTGGGAAGTAATAAGGGTATTATGGTCTTTTCTAAGAGAAGATTTTTATCTTTAGTTCTCACATATGTACATGGGCTAACAAAGAGATAACAATAAATATATTACATGTAATGCATATGCTTTTATGATATGAATTGTATTATATGATTTATATGATGATGTGTGTATTGCTTGGTTAAATGAATCATATGTTGGTTAAAAGAATAGATATAAGAGGATATGATTATAAGATATAAATGATAAGAATATTGATAGTGGAATAAGGTTAGAGATGGAAATAGTGTGTGATATGTATATGTGTATATTATGTTGTATATAATGTTATACTATTTTGGTGTGACATCATGAGATAATATGTTCATGCATGTTTAAATAGTTAGAGTTCTTTTATAAGTTTAATGTCTCACTAAGTCATAGACTTAGCGTGTGAATGTTTCACACGTAGGTTATGGAAAGCGAGATGAGAAGTTAAGAGGAGCAAGACAGATCAGTATCTCCCTTACAAAGTTCAGATCAGAAAATCAAAGAGATGATTTATTTGTATTTGGTTATTTTGAATATAGTTGACATGTACTGATTGATTGAGTTGAACATGCTCTGATAAGGTTTGTAAACCAATGGATTATTTAATGTAAAATATTCATTTTCTTGAAATGTGAATTTAAAATTTTTAATCAGTTTGTAAAGAAAAATGTTTTGGAAAGTCAATGTGACACTTCGGACTCGGATCCGGGTCGGATACGGGTTGGGGTGTTACACGGTGCACCTAAACCCAGGTCTAAAAGAACCCTCTCAACCTCAAGAACCCAAATCCATCCACCAAATAACAAAACAAAGCCCCTATCGCCATGGATCTACGCATGCATGGCTAGATTTTTACCTTTTTCGATGATGACGACTTGACTCCTCGGGCAAACTCTCGACGGTCTCCCTCGCAAATTTAAGTATTTTCTTCTTCTCACTTTATTTTCTTCTTCCTTTTTCGTTGATGCCTTATCTCCTCTTCGCAGGTCATTTTATAAGCACTTTTGGAGAACAAATCCCCCTTACTCTAGTGGTGTTATCATCTCGAATCTACGAGATTGATTTTTAATTGTTTTCTCCTTTGTTTTGATTTCCTTAGAAAATGGGATATGCTTTGCTGTTTTGGTTATTATTTCAATTTTACGTTTTGGTTGTTGGTCGATGTTGCCTTGGTTGCTCTGTTTGGGTTGACTCGTACGAGATCCCCTTTTTGGGTTGATTCAATTGATTTTCTTGCTAAAATTATTTGGAAAATCTGTAAATAGCCTTCGGTTTAGCGTGTGTGGTGTATTTTGGCTGGCTCGTGGTCTTCACATTCTGGTAATCAGTTGTCTGGTGACCATTAGTGCTTCTGGAACGTTCTACTTGATTCTGGACGTTAGATCAAGGGACTGGATCCAACGACCCTGGATTGGCTGGGTTGTGGTGATATGTTTTTAGGGTTTAATAACCTTTGCCATATTTTATTTTGGTTGTTTATCTTCTCCATGATCCAATGGCTTATTGTTGTGCGACTTTGTCTTGATGTTGGAAATCTTGGGGTGTTGTGTCAGGCACCTTGGTCTCACACTTAGTTGGGTCTTCATCTGTTTGGGCCTTTATTGGATTTGGATAATTTGGTCTGGCTGCTTGTTCATTAGGTCAGATGAACTTGTTGTTGGGCTTCCCTAACTTGGATTTCTTGGACTAGACCGTAACTTGCACCCTTTGGACACTTAAGTTGAACCTTGAAATTGGACCTAAAATACAATTAAAATAAAAACTAATAGAAAGAAATTAATAATAATATATAATATACCCACTATATAATATTAATATATATATA